TTGCCTCAAAACCTTTTTGAAGTGGGCAGGAATAACATGGGTGTGTGCATGTGATGTATATATTCATATATATGGATATTACATATCATGCATGAACACACACACATATTCCCAATGCTGAAAGTATACCTGTCTACATAGTTTCCAAATCTCTTCTGCCATGCTTCTCTTTCAGCTCCTGTGTCCTCTCCAATAGTCTACTTGGTCACACGCAAATGAGGGTATCTGGCTGCTTTACAATTAGTGAATCCCAAGAAAGAAACTTTTCACATGAAAACATGAGTTAGTAATATTAACATAAGTGCAGATTTTATGGAGGAGTCTGAGGAAACATATTTCTGTTCTTTTCTTCAAATCCCTTCTTTTGTAATACTGCCTTTAGTTGAGTTTATTTTAATACTCTAAATCAGGGGTCAGCAAACTTTTTCAGGAAAGGGCTAAGTAGTAATATTTTAGATTTTGTGGGCTATAAGGCCTCTGTTGCAACTATTCAACTCTGCCATTGTAATGCAAACACAGTTATAGGGATGCATAAACAAATGGGCATGACCGTTTTTTCAGTAAAACTTTATTTATAAAAATAGGCAGCAGGCTGATTTGACCCATGACTGTAGTTTTCTGTGACCCTAATCCTTCCACATTCACCGTATCTTCAGTCACTAGATTCTCTCAGTGCAGTGTCACTCTGGCCAACACCTACGCCCAATCTACTCATGTTAACCCCTGCAAAACAGAGGGCTGTCCGGTTAATGGGACAAGATCCTTCCTGCGTGTTTTATTGCTTGAAAATACCCTGGAAGAGTTTGCCCTTCTCTCACATATACTAATAGTTTTAAAAAATATTTCTTTCTACCACATACAGTGATCACCACAAGATAACTTTAGATAAATATTACAAACATATTTCCGTCTGGAATAGTATTTTTACAGCCTACAGCCATATTTGAGTTTAGAAAGTGGACTCAATCAAGAGACAGAAAAATGAATCTTCATGTCAACATTCTCCAATGACATGACCCTGATCGCTAACTTTTCTATGCCTTGGTTTTCTCATCTGCATAATGGGGATAGGACTCCATCTGCTCAAAGGCCAGAGCTTAGACCCAATGATCCCTTATAGACTCTTCCCAGAATTTAGACAGATTATTTTCCTAAACCAATGATTTCCAAATGGTTTCAGGAATTTCAATTCCCTGGGATACTTGTTAAAACAGATTTCTGGACCCCAGACTGAGTTTCTGATTGAGTAGGTCTAGGGTGGAGCCTAAGAATCTGCACCACCAAATTCCGCTAGTGTTGGCCAAGGTACCACACTTTGGGTCTGTATGATAGAGATATCACAGTTCTTTATACAGGGAAACAATGATGGGGCAGGGTGGGGGTGGGCAGTCCTATAGCTGGTTCCTCTTCATCTCTCCAAAATGCGGTTCTTTCTTGAAGGGATGAGAGATTAGTTCTGTTTGTCCACTAAGTCTCAGATGCTACAGCCACACCTCAGCCACACACTAACTACAGGCTGAAAGGAGGCTGGTGGTGACTCTCGTGGGGCCATGCTGGAACATAAAAGCTAATGGGCAGCCAAGTAACCCTGGAGAAGGACAGGGAAGTGCAGAACCATTGAGAAGTGACAGACAAATATGCCATCACACAATTCCTTTGTATAAGCCAAACTTCTAGAACCTTCTCTTTCCATAAACACAATATCAACACAAGCATTGACTGAGGGTTGATCATACAAAGGTCCAACACCAAATTGTGCAGGGTGGGAGGCAAGGAATCTGGAGAAGACTGCCCTCAAGAACCCTGAGTCTTATTATGCCAAATGCAAAAGTCACACATGTTCCCACACTTGGCAGAGGTCAAAACAAGTAGATAATTGGATATAATGTTGTGTGGCAGGACCATGGAGTATTCTGAAGAGAGGTTGTTGGCAAGAGTGGGAGACCTGGGCAGGCTTCCTTGGGAGGTGGAGGCAGGTGGCAGAGGCAAAAAGGATCTGAAGCAGCAGCAGGGGGAGGAGCCTGGCAAGCTGGTTGGAATATTAGCAGGGAGGGGATGAGAACAAGCACGTGACTTTATCTCTCTCCGTATGAACCCCCTCAGCTCATCTCCACCTCCCTGCCTCAGTTTCCTGATTTGAGGAATAAGGGTTTTGAGCTAAATCACAAGTTCACAAATTTTGTTCCATCCTGAAGGTACCCCAGGCTAAAAGGTAAATGAGCATGCTGGGCCCAGCCCTCCCCCCCAGTCTTGTTGCCCCTACATCAGCCAGAATAGCTCTGCTTTCTTACATTTCTATGCTCCCTGTACAGTTTAGCTTCCAGAATGGATTTCAAAGTCACTCAGCAAGAAACTCTATGAAAGCTCTTTCCATTTGTACATTGGGTGGCCAAATGGAAAGGAGAGAGAAGCCAGGCAGCACAAGGGATGAGACCACCAGGTTGGCCCAGCTAGAGTCTAGAGCAGCTGGGCAGCCAGAGGGGGTGAGACCAGCGGGGTGGGAACCAGGGAAGGTTGCAAGCTTGCGTGTGGTGGAGAGGCACAGCAGTGAGATCGGGCTCACAAGCTGCTGGAGAGGCAAACGGATCTGAAAATCTCAACTGCTCAGAAGGTTCTGAGTCAAAACAAAGGATGATTTTTTTCCCCCTTGTCAGCCTTCCCTCTCAGGACATTGTACTATATGCAAAACGTGTAACTGTAAGACAAACATTTTTTTCCGCTGCCCTTCTCAGCCCCACGGGCCTTCAGGAAGACCTGCACTTCAAGCACAGCTTTTTTATTTTTCAACACCTACAGCTTTCATTCCATAATCAGAAGTTTTCCACTTTCATCAAAGAGACTGAAGACAAGCCAAGGGAGGGCTCTGTTCTCAGCAGTGCCTGGCAGGTTATGGAGCCCCCTGGTACCTGCTCGCTGCCCGTACCCACCACTGGACACAGCTGTCTCACCAGATCAGCTGGGCATGCACCCTGAGGACACTGGCTTGCTTCATTCCTACCTCAGTGACCAAACCAGATGAACAGGTGCACCCACTTCTCCCAAAACCAGTCCCGACTTGGGGCCCAGGGGTCATCAGCTTCCTCAATTGCAAAATAGGTATACTTTATACTATTCGAGTTGGCCCAAGAAAATAATTTACCTCTTGATGACTCTTCTATCTCCAGGATCTGTGATCTTATAGATTCACAGGGGAGGAATATTCAGGCCAATCCCTAGAGCCTGACCCAATTCAGGTGATGCTCAGAAGTCTGGGTTTTTCTGCTCACAAGTCTGCAATTGTGGCATTGGCAATAATCCAAGCTGGGCTTTGGATACAAGACGTTTCCTTATGAGGAGCTGGGATTTCTTCTGGCTCTCAGAGATACACTGCAGCCAAAAATGAGCAGAAAGGCAGGGGAGGGCGGGCGCTACAGAGAACTGGGTACTTCCGAATGAAGTATTCAAAGAGCTACATCTGGAGGCACCAGCTATGCAGTGATTCATATTTTAAATGGGGTGTTGAAATGGAGATCATTAGTAACTGCAGATGTGACAGCTCTGTCCCCCAGATAATCTATTATAGCGGTCCGGAGTCTAGACTCAGCCCCAGGGGACCACTGGGAATGTTTAACCAGGATGGGCCAACACCTTTGCCAAGTCTATCCCCATTCATGGATTTCCCTTCCTAGACTATCTCATGTGATGTGTATGTCAAGGCATGGGGGGGCGGGGGGGAAGGGGAGGGGCATAGGACCTGCACAAGGACCCAAGGTCAATAGTGGGCAGGGCTGAGACCAGGGCTCAAGTTTTCTGTCTTCAAGCACAGTGATGATTGAATGCTTTAGCGTGGGCCATACAAGTATGGCCCTGCACCCAGGTGATCTCACTGATCAACATTTGCCACTTCGGTGGAGACAGTTTGCATGCTCTCTGATCCTCAGTTTTCCCATCCGTAAAAAGGAAATCGTAGCTGCGTCAGAGGGCAGAGGTGAGGGCGGAGTGACGCAATGTGTAGAGCACTTCTAGCAAGAGCACTGTGCCTGAGATAGTAGATAGAGGCTCAGCTGTAGCAGTCACATGCACACATACGTCACACATCACACACCACACACACAAAACGTGCACCACACACCATATGTGCACACCACACATGCGCGGCATGCACAGACCAGGCGCCCAGCGCCACGCACACACACAGCACCCAGAACACGCCCCCCACCATCTGCACCGGGGCACTTCCCCACCCCCACCCTCACCACCAGTCCTTCCCCTTTCTGTGATTTTTTTTTCAATCCCAGGTTTATATGCAAGCTTGACATATCCCAATCCAGTCAGCAGCAATTTTTGTTTAAAAGATCAGTGTTTCCATATTCCTGCTCTCTTTGAACTTGTCCCCACATTTCATGCTGTCACGGACTTGTCCCCTTTGGATAAATCTCCACTATTATGGGTCCTTCCTTCCCAGATATCTGGCAGCATTTCCAGATTTCAGGAGAAGCTGATAGGATCAAACTGAACCCTTTGGAGTCATTATACTCCAGTCCAAGGACTCCAGCTTCTCCGAGGCCCAGCAGAGACACATTTTCTGCGGAGGTCTTCTGAGCTGCAGGCCTCACTGAAGAGAATGTGCAGCTTCTCAAGCAGGAAGACGTTTTGTGGCTGAGTCTAAATGAAACAGAAGTTGCTTTGTGCACACACACACACACACACACACACCCCGGAGTAGGGAAACCGTCATTTTCCTACTCGCCCTCTGACATCAACCACCTTCTCTGTAGCTACAGTTTCTCTGCACTCAAATTCATCCCTGGCAATGAAAAATGAGCCTCTCCCCTACCCTTGCTGCCGCCTTTCGCCTCACGCCCCCAGAGAAGAGTTTCTTCGTGTGGCAGCCGGTGAAGGTTTTTTTCCAAGTCACATGATCCAGGATGCAGGGGGAGAATCCTTCTTGGAACAGAGATGGGCCCAGAACCGAATGAGATGAGGAGAGATAGGGTGTGCTGTGGGAAGACTATATAAGAATGGACCCACGGCTGCAGCAAGCACTCAACCGAGTGGCCCCTTCTCAAGACACAGCCATGCATGTGCCAGAAGGCTCCGTCGCCAGCCACTTGGGAACCACGAGTCGTGGTTACTTCTATTTCACCACGACCGTGCTGGCTTTGTGTCTCGTCTTTGCTGTGGCAACCATCATGGTGTTGGTAGTTCAGAAGAAGGTAAGTGGATTTCTCTTCATCCCCTTTCCTTTCTGACTTTATGTTCGGTTTTCCCCAGAGAGAGAGCCTTGAGGATAAAGTAATAAATTAGTTGAGAAGAAAAAAAGAAAAGTACATCTATCATGTAGAAAGAGGGTGAAAAGAAACAGGAACTTAAAACTCTCAGAAATAATTTGGCTTTTAAGAGAAAATGTGTTCAGCCATCATCTCAAAACTTTCCGGACTCGTATGGCCCCAAAAAAGAGAGAGGAGCTATTAGCATTAAGAAATTAAGATTTAAATTTTGCTGGGCCAGAGACGTATCAAAGAAGGAAGTGATAAGGAAATCTGATAACAGATCTGCACAACGTGTTACCATGTCTTCAAGGTCTTCTGACCAGATTGTAAGGTTCTATATTCTCAGTGCAAATGTTCCAGAGATCTCTGGGGCCTCCTCCATTGCCAAGAGCTTTCTCAACAAGGAGCTAAGTTTCAGAAGCCAAGGTGCATATGGGAAGGAGCAAGACAGAAGACCAGGCTTAGCTCCTCAGAGCTAATTAAAGCCCACAAGACAAAGCTCGCTCCTGAGCACTGCTTGGAAGAACTTAGGATGTCACAAAAAACACAGAGCAGAGGAACACAATGTAGAAATGTTCTTAACACCTGTTCCCTCTGAAACTGCTCAGAATACTAAAACTACAAGCAATTATAGGTACCCACTGTAGAGGCAAACTGTCTCAAGAAATTGACTTTCTTTGGAGGAAATGGTAAGATTTGTTGTAAAAACAGAAGAAATGAAGGAGGACACTTCTTATTTCAGGAAATCGGTGTTTACAGACAGGCTGCCAGTGCACATTTTGTAGAAAATACCATATTGATGGTATATGTTGCTCATGAATTTTTTTAATGAAGTAGAGTTTAGGTCAATTTTGATAATTTGAGAACCTGATCTCTCTACACACCCTGCCAAAGTGGGACTGTTTCTGGTCCTTCCTTCATAACTCCCATTTTTCATTACAGTCCTGCGGAATTTGTTCCGGTTTTCCTTCAATTGTCTTAGACTGAATGTTCTAAGTTTGAAGGTTTTCCTTCAATTGTCTTAGACTGAATGTTCCATAACTTATAGATTGATGAAAAGAACTAAGCTTTAAAAGATTTTGGTATCTGTGTCTCAAATGTCATCAGCTTTCAAGTTTAAATGAAGCTTTGAAGCTCATCTCTCCATAAAGGTGACAGAAAACAGAACTGCCAACATTTGATTTAAATAGTACAATTTATGAAACTCATCCTTGAATGGGCTCATCTACATCTGCTAAAGAATAACACTCTTGAAAATATTCTAGGGCATTTTTTTTTTTGGTAGAGGGTATATAATTTCTGTAATTCTAACTTGAAGTAAACCAGAAGCATATCATTTTATAGCAGTGGCCAAAAAAAAGAAAAGAAAAGAAATTGAGGTGGCCTTTAAGAAGTTTTTAGTTAAATGTTTCAGCTAGAACTGTTAAAAAGTAGGGAGGGAAGGATGAATGGAAGTAAGGAGGGAGAAAGGAAGGAAGGGAAGGGAAGGGAAGGGAGGAAGGAAGGAAGGTAGGTATTGGAGGTGACGGTGATATATAAAGATGGAGAGAGTTCTAGAAGGGTCCTTATTCAAATCCATTCTTTCTAGGAAGGAACTAGAGTGGATCTTTCTGCCCCATTTTTGTGTATGTGGAAAATCAGGAACAGAAAGGAGACAGACAGGTCTTAACTAAGCCATCCTGAGAAAGTGATAAAATCAAGACTGCGCTTGATTGTTTAATGAGAACAGCATTCTCTTTGCCAATACAGCCAGCCACAAAAGCACTAAGAAACTTTGCTCCTGCTTTTCCCTTGGGAGCTTTATTTTCTTGTGCATCCATTTCCTTGACTTAACTCCTCACATTAGGATGTGAAAAGATTCACTTCACAATCTTATTTGTATGGTTTGGTGTGCTGTAGTTTTGTAGCCTGGGAGATGTCAGTTACTTGCTTAAAAGCTAAGGCTTGCAAGACTAATTGTGACATTAAGTGTTAAATGTTTTGCACATATCATTTTCAATAAATTATTCAAGCATTAACTATTGCAAGAGCTAGAAAGAGTTATCCCCTTGAGTTATCAAGTAAGGCTTCTTGTAGGAAGAGGGAATGCAGGCTGACTTTACGAAAGGTAGAACTTAGATAAACAGAGAGATTCTGGGGCGCCTGGGTGGCGCAGTCGGTTAAGCGTCCGACTTCAGCCAGGTCACGATCTCGCGGTCCGTGAGTTCGAGCCCCGCGTCGGGCTCTGGGCTGATGGCTCAGAGCCTGGAGCCTGTTTCCGATTCCGTGTCTCCCTCTCTCTCTGCCCCTCCCCCATTCATGCTCTGTCTCTCTCTGTCCCAAAAATAAATAAAAAACGTTGAAAAAAAAAATTTAAAAAAAAAAACACAGAGAGATTCTAACAGAGACCTCTGGTAAAGAAATCAATGGGAGAGACCCAAGAAACTTAAACTCATATCCCAATTATCAAAAAATGGAATGGGTTGATGGCTATGTAGCACTCTGTGTGAGGATGGATGGGGGCAGTGATGGAGTACCATGAAAATGGTTTCACTGGCCTAAGAAGTCACAGTTCTAGGTAAGAAGCACATGAACAGACAAAATTTAAAACAAGATAAGTCATAGTATATAATAAGTGTTGGAAGGTAGCCACATAGGGTTTCCATGACACCACAAGTTAAGGAGACAGAGTGTTTTCCCAGGTTTAAGAAAAACTTAATTGGAGATTGGAGTTCCAGACTGGCTTAAGATATTTAAAGCTGGTGGGGAAGTGGATGGGGATGAGAGGGTACTCCTGGCCAATGGAACAGCATGAACAAAGTGTTGAAGAAGGGAAAACACAGGGAGTGTAGGAAAACCAACAAAGATTGCCTTGAGATTTGGACTGAAGATCAAATAACTCCAAGGTCAAAGTCCTTGGGAGAGACAAAGAAGGAACTTAGGTTTCAGCCTCAAATATTTATTGGGCATCATCCGTATGTGGGACATTGTTCTAAGCAGTGGGGATATAGCTTGAACAAAGCCAATAAAATTACTGCTTTTGTGTTGCTTATGCAATGTACCATCTACTAATGTCTTTAAAGTCCCTGTGGTGGCTTTTCTTAATCTATCTTTAGGCCAGTATATTTATTTTAAAATATTAGGGGCGCCTGGGTGGCGCAGTCGGTTGAGCGTCCGACTTCAGCCAGGTCACGATCTCGCGGTCCGTGAGTTCGAGCCCCGCGTCGGGCTCTGGGCTGATGGCTTAGAGCCTGGAGCCTGTTTCCGATTCTGTGTCTCCCTCTCTCTCTGCCCCTCCCCTGTTCATGCTCTGTCTCTCTCTGTCCCAAAAATAAATAAATGTTGAAAAAAAAATATTATATTCCTATGGTTTAAGAAAAGTAAACAGTACATAATGGAAAAGAAATTAAAACTCACTCACACCCTTCCCACCCAACCACCAATCCCTCTTTCATGAGATCATCACCATTAACAGACTCTTCCATGTCCTTCCAAAAATACATGCATCTGTAAATGCACATGTCATTATAGTAGACTCATGATTTTGCACTTTGTTTTACTGACTTGACAGTCTATCTGGAGATCATTCCATGCCAATACATGAAAGTCTGTCTCATTCTTTGGGAGAGTCACATAGTATTCTATTGTATGACTGCTTCATAATCTATTTTATCTGTGTCTAGTGAAGGACACATAATGTTTTTCTCTAGAAGTGTTACTCACTGTGCACGTCTGCAAGGATATCTGTGGGATAAATTCCTAGTGATGAGAATAGAATGTGTATTTTCCACTTCAATAGATATTGTCAGTCAGCCTCAAAAGATATTGTACCAATATACTCTTGAAGAAGTAAAAGTCCTACCAACAAGGAGACACCTATTGACATCCATATGGGAAGACAGAAAACTGCTTTAAAAAATTTTTTTTAACATTTATTCATTTTTGAGAGACAGAGTGTGAGTGGGGGAGATGCAGAGAGAGAGAGAGAGAGAGAGAGAGAGAGAGACAGAATCTGAAGTAGGCTCCAGGCTCTGAGCTGTCAGCACAGAGCCCGACGTGGAGCTCGAACTCACAGACCATGAGATCATGAGCTGAGCTAAAGTTGGACGCTTAATTGACTGAGCCACCTAGGTGCCCTGAAAACTGATTCATTATTAAGTAAACACAACAGAGGACATGCATACCTCAGGATGAACTGTTACACAATTTATATAGCAAAGCAAATGAAAAAAAAATAAAATAAAATTGATCTTATCTCCTCCAGAGACAAAAGGTTATATAAGAAGATAGGCTGGGGGCGCCTGGGTGGCGCAGTCGGTTAAGCGTCCGACTTCAGCCAGGTCACGATCTCGCGGTCCGTGAGTTCGAGCCCCGCGTCGGGCTCTGGGCTGATGGCTCAGAGCCTGGAGCCTGTTTCCGATTCTGTGTCTACCTCTCTCTCTGCCCCTCCCCCGTTCATGCTCTGTCTCTCTCTGTCCCAAAAATAAATAAACATTGAAAAAAAATTAAAAAAAAAAAAGAAGATAGGCTGCAAGGTTGACATAGATGTCATTTCAAAAGGTTCTGAAGTCTTCAATCTAAGGGCTATCTCTATAAACCTGGAGACTGGACTTATCCAGTCCCCGAAGTGATTTATTTACATTCTAAAGGTTAGAACAAGGGGTCAGGATCTTCAGGTTTTTAAGGAGACCCTTTCTAGAAAGAAGAGAAAGTAGCTGCCTCCTTTCCCTTTATAAGTAAAGATACTTTTTTAAAATTTTTAAAAATGTTTTTATTTATTTTTGAGAAAGAGAGAGAGAGAGCATGTGCACAAGTGGGAGGAGGGGCAGAGAGAGAAGGAGACACAGAATCAGAAGTAGGCTCCAAGCTCTGAGCTGTAAGCACAGAGCCCAACGTGGGTCTCAAACTCATAAACTGCGAGATCATGACCTGAGCTGAAGATCGGTGCTTAACAGACTGAGCCA